CATCAGGGAACCTGGGGTGGTGTCAGGTGCCTGCCCTCCCTCCTGGGTTACAGAGGCATTTGTGAGGCTTGTTGTGGCTCCTGTCCTTGTCTCCCCCCAGATAAGGAAGGAAGAAAGAGAACATGGAAATTGTGATCTCACCATCCAGTAGCCCTTGACCCTAACCACCTTAATCAACTATGTAAAATTACCAAAACTAAAATTTTTTTTAAAATGCTGTCTGGTCCTTGGGAGAAAAAAGCACCTAGAATTAATTTGAGGTTCTGGAGGCTGGCTGGTTGGCATGACAATAACTCTAACATAGAGTAATAATGTCTTTTTTGCAAAGGTTGATTTTCACAGAAATTCAAGCCAGCACTAAATACGTTCATTTATTTCCATTAATAAACACCGGATCCCATCCCTGGCACTATGTTAAGAACAGGTGAAAATGACAGACATGGTCCTCCAATGGTGGGGTGTGCCCTGTTGCAAAGAAAACAAATCATAAAGAATGAACAATTATTGATAAATGGAGAATTTAAGCATGTGAGAAAGGATCTATAGAGAAGCAAGCAATGAGCCCATAGGCTAGACAAGAAGAGGACTGCCTCAGCATAGGATTCAGAGAAGTGTTTACTCTTGTTAAATGTTATGAATCATGCCTTTAAGGCCATGTGAACTTTAGGAAATTAAATGAATTAACAATATGCTCCTACCTTCTTCAGTAATATAAATAACTTGGTGCCAGTTAGAGTCCAGCTCCAGCTGAGTTCAGAACTCGCGAAGGGTGCGTGAATGAGGTGCAAAGAGGAACGAAACGGACCATTACAATTCCAGGATCATAATGGACAATGTGAGAAAGCTGTTGCTTTATTTATACAGAAGCAGTCAAACTCTGGCACAGCCTTTTTACATCATGGTCAAGTGGGTGTTTCCAAGGATAATTCTGCTGTTTGTTTCACCTTAAAGGAAGTTCTCAGTTGATGGTGAATATCAATCAGTAACACATTCCTACTACAATCCTCATCCTACAACTTAATCTTGAATCAGTTAATGGATGAAAAGCATCACAGAAGGAGGGAGCTAAAGATCAAGGATGGTCCTCCCATTCCTCCCACCAGGCTGCAACCACTGCCAAGAGAAAACAGCTCCAAGAAGCCATAGAGAACAATGCCCTTCTTCCTGTATATATAACAAAAGGGAGGAATGAATGTAAGGCGTTATTCCAATATCCCACCCTGAACCCTGCACCATTTCCTCTTCCTCACAGCTCATGCTGGTCTAGCCATCCACTAATCAAATATAACCTGGCATTCCACCTGAGAATCCACCCACAATCTTCCAGCCCCTTCCCTAACCCCGCCCACTCACCAATCATCCCTAGGCATTCACTTGCAGTTGCCAATCCCCTGGGGCCTGCCCTCAATCCCTCCCAATCCCACCCCCTACACCTAGGAGGCCTACCTGAACATAAGGGGCCCGCAGGTGCCTCCATCTCCCCTTTTTCCCCTTTTTTTCCCCCTGCTGATCTCTTCCACCTCCACCCCTCTCCTGCCCCGCTGGAATAAACCTCCTAAGATACAAGAAAAAAAAAAAAGAAAAGAAAGATCAAGGATGGTCAATGGAGGCAGTAGCGATAGAGACAGAGACAGCATGAATAATATAAGGTCCCTTTGATAAAACTGTATCAGCAACATCAATTTCTAAGCTCACATTGGTAGTAAGCACCAGACAACGCCTAAATAGATTACAGAATTCTCAGCAGGGTTGTCCAGTGTCCATGCAAAGGGAGGTGGAGCTGCATTCAGGTGGTTGTAGGCCACTGCCATGCAGCGGGAAATTCCTTGCTGCCTTGCCTGCAATGAAACAATACTCTTCACACCTTCCTGTCTTCCACACCCACTGCATAGTCCCCAACTGTCACTGTCCTGCAGTGATGGACTTGGTGCACGGAGCCGATAATAACACACATGGACCCTGACTGATGGTCAAAGCCGGAAGTTTATTAGTGGCATCAGACTTTATACACTGAGGGTCATATGGGATAAGGGAGGAAGTATTGAGCTCATCAACAAAACCCAGTAACAGTTTCTATGCTTTTGTTTGGAACTCCTTTTGTCTTGTATATTCCACCAAGTGTTCTCATACACATACTGTCTGTCCATTCAACTGTCCTTATACAAATGATATCCAATCAGGTATACAAAAAGTAGCCATTGGGTTGTTCTCATGCAAATATTATCCAGTCAACTGTAATCCTGTGCTCGCTGACCCTCTAGGGTCACAATGTCCTACTACACAGCAACTTAGACAAAGAAATAGTTTACATGAAGTTATTTTTCACTAGGAAGTTTCAACATATATAGAACCTAGAACTTCCCGCTTAAAATCATTTTATGTGAAAGCCAGAAAGGACAAGAGATAGGCAAACACTCAGGAACAAAGTGGCTAAATCCTCATCTTGCATGCGCCAGGATCCCATATAGCGCTGGTTTGTGCCGGCTGCTCCACTTCTCTTTCAGCTGCTTGTGGCTTGGGAACGCAGTCGAGGATTGCCCAAAGCCTTGGGACCCTGCACCCAAGTGGGAGACCCAGAGGAAGTTCTTGCCTCCTGGCTTTGGGTCATTGCAGCACTGGCCATTGCGATCACTTGGGGAGTGAATCATCGGACTGAAGATCTTCCTCTCTGCCTCTCCTCCTCTCTGTATATCTGACTTTGCAATAAAAATAATTTTTTTAAAAAAATCTGAAAAGATTAAATACTATATGGTTCCATGTAAAACTATTACTTTAGTGATAAAATTGAAAGGGTTGTTTCTGTAGTATAGAGGGTAAAACTTCTACCTGTGATGTTGGAATCCTATACAGGTGCCCATTGGAGTTCCAGCTATCCCCTGCTAACATACTTAGGAAAGCAGTGTAAGATGGCCAAGAGCTTGGGCTCCTGAACCCAGGTGGAAGTTCCAGAAAAATTCCTGACTCCTGGTATTTGCCTGGCCCAGCTATGGCTGTGTGGAGTTCAAATTCAAAGCAGAATGTAGATGTCTGTATTCTAAATATCAAACTTCAGAATTCCAAAGGTCCATCTACTTTGAAAGTTTAGGGGACTGATGTAAGTTGAGTCTTTGTAGTTTTTCAGTTTATTAATATTACAATAAACAAATCCATCAGAGTGATTTTGGTTTTACAACTCATTCATCATGCTTTATGTTTTTCCCTCATTTCAGCACAAACTGGTAAAAATGACATCAGGCCAAGTCCCCATTCCTAGATTACTGATAACTGAGTGCCAAACTAATTATATATGTGTGTGTGTCTTTTATATATAATTTATTTTTATTGGAAAGTCAGATATACAGAGAGGGTGAGAGACAGAGAGGAAGATGTTCCATCCGCTGATTTACTCCCCAAGCAGCTGCAATGGCAGGAGCTGAGCCAGTCCAAAGCAAGGAGCCCAGAGCTTCTTAAAGGTCTCCCATGGGGATGTAGGGTCCCAAGGCTTTGGGCCTCCTCCACTGCTTTCCCAGGCCGCAAGCAGGGAGCTGATGGGAAGTGGGGCTGCCAGGACATGAACCAGCATCCATATGGGGTCCTCAAACCCATATGTGATCCCTGCACATGCAAGGTGAGGACTTTAACTACTAGGCTACCATGCTGGGCCCCAAACTAATTATATTTTAAATACATTTTCAACAGGTTTTTTTTTGTTGTTGGTAGATACCTTTTCCCAGCCACTTATTTTCCTGCTCATTATGAGAAGAACTTTTGCTATTTATGCATTAACAAATAGCCATGATATGAGTATTTTAAAATATCTGAAACACATATTTTGCTTTAAGAACAAATATATACAGTGTTCTGAATAATCATACCACTCACATGTGTGAAATATAAGCTTCAAAGCCGTCATATACATTACTGCATATAAATTTTTCCTTTAAACTGTTTACATGTTTTAAATATTTAAGCAAGAGTAAATGTGTGGGCCCAGTGTGATAGCCCAATGGCTAAATCCTCAGCACTGTGATCCCTTATGGGTGCCAGTTTGTGTCCAGACTGATCCCGCTTCCCATCCAGCTCCCTACTTATGGTCTGGGCAAGCAACAAGATGGCCCAAAGCTTTGGGGCCCTGCACACACAATGGGAGACCTAGAGGAAGCTCCTGGCTCCGGATCCACTCATCTTCAGCTGTTGTGGCCATTTGGGGATTGATGTAGTGGATGGAAGATCTTTCTGTCACTCCTCTTTTCTGTAAATGGCTTTCAAGAATAAATGTGAATTTCAGAAATATTAACTTTGCTTATGCGCTGAGGAATTCATTAAATTTCAAATCCCATTCTGCCAATAAATGTCTTCAGCTATTTTAGGAATGACATAGTACTGCCCCTTTCTCCTACGACACTCGAACCATGTGTGTCTCATAGAAACAAAGAATTAATTCCTACTTGTAGAGCTGTCCTCGTTCTTTCACAAGTGCTCTTATTTTGTACGGGTGGATGCATGTGTGTGTGGATGAATTTCCAAAGTGTCATTATACCCATGAATTACGAAACTGGTTATAAGTTTTTATCATACTCAATTACCATCAAAATACTAATATAGGAAACAGAAACATTGCACAGTATAGGTGACAGAAGAGAACTAGAATTATAATTCTAAAACCAAATTTATACAAGTTATTTAGCAATAGTCTTCTATATAAGTCACCTCATATTTTATCCATTTGCAAACTCCAATGTTGTATTATCATTTGAATTTAAACTATCTAAAATAACTTGGGTTTTCAGATTTTCAGATTACTAGCACACAGCTATAAGAGGCAATAGAAGTGATTACAAATGGTATTCCTGCAAATTAAATTATACTGAACGTTTGTTAAAACGCATGCTGTTAACTGAAAACAGTCGCAGGGATTAGCTTGTCATGAAGGAATTTCAACACTGCTAATTGTGTCATTCACTATGAAGCAAGGGTGTAACACATTTGGCAAAAACGCTGAATTAGAAAGTCAGGAAGACTGGGTTCTAGTATTGATTTTATTTGTAACTAACCATATACAAACCACTTTATAAAAGAATGGTTCACATCTACTCCCTATCTCATGAATATATCACAAAACCAGAAGTCTCCCCAAGAGAAACTTATTGTAAAATAAAATATTACTACTATTTAGTGTAACTCAAAGATTAAGAGTGACAAATTAGAGAACTTTTATGAATTGCACACCTTAATTCCACAGATGGATAATCTCTTAAGATAAGGATTGCCACATCTCAATCTCACAGAACACAAAGCTATCAACAAGATATTAATGAAAAGCTGATAAAAAATTAACAGTATTGAGAAATAATATTCTATGTTAAGAGAAGTGCTCATAACATCCCTGGAGTCAATATAGGACAAAATTTAGCCATAGTCCACAAAATATAGTAACATTTTGGAAGAAACATGAAATGCTAGAGCAGATATCTTATTTTGGTAGAAATGTTAAACAGGAATGTCTTGTAGGTTCTTAAAATAGCCAGTTAAAATGGCTTAGAAAACACTGTGTGTGTGCGTTATCCATTTTTGTGTTCATTAAAAAATTCAGCTCCCCATCCCAATCAGATTCCTCAGCGCTCTAACAGGACAGTAAAAAGTCTGTCAACAGAGAACACAGGTGAGGGATTAATGTGTTATTTAAAAAAGATTCAGGAAGATAATTTTAAGCAGCCATAGAAAAATTTATATCCCATAAATATTCATATATGTATATGTACACCATTTCATGTGTACAAGTACTGTGATAGCCATGTGTATTAATAAAGCTTCAAAAGGTAAGCACCTATATTTCTCATATTTAGCAATATCAGTTTTGCGTAATTTAGTCTGTCTTTCCAGACTTTCCCTAACTTATGGTGAAAGAAACAAAGACTGGAGTACAGTTCACAAAGAAACACAGAACAGAAATGCCATAATAAAATAACCGTGTATACTACCACTTAGTATGGAAATATTTTAGAGGAAAGATACTTTACTATTGGCCCCAAATGCCACATCCACTTAAGTTTTCTGTCAACTTTTAATACAAAAATACCTTCAAGCTGATAATCAAAAACATTTACATGACTTACAAAACACAGAATATTAAGTAATACAGAAAACAGTTTTATATACATCTTAAAGTTTAAAGGTCTTTGCTGGCACTTGATCTTAAAGATGGTAAGACAAAATGACCAGTAATACTAATAAAATACTGTTTTTAGCTTATGTAGATTTCCAAAACAAGAGTTAAGTTGCTTCTTGCTGAAGAGAAACATCAACACTAATACCAAAGTATTTTAAGACCACAAATAAGCTATTAAAACAAGGCATGACCAACAGAGAAAAAATTTAAATCACCCAACAAATTTCTAGTGAAAACAAGGATTGTTGCTTTGACTCCATGAGGCATGTATCACATACAGATCACAATGTGAATTTATAAAACAAATTTTCCTTTTTTGTGTTGAGGGGAGTCAATTTAGAAGCATATTTTGGTGACACTAGAATGGAATTTTTTAGTTACAAAATTGGTGTTTACTAAATACAAATTTTATATTCCAAAATAAAATTGCTAATCCTTTAAAACAGTGAAATCCTGATTTTTAAAACTTTCTATGAACTTATAAAACCATTGTACATATTACCAAAATGAAACCACTATTCAGTAAACAATACTTACATTAATTTTTTTTCCTTGCAAAAGGGAAGAAAACTAATCATTATTCTAACAAAATGTACTTAATTTACAGTACCAGAAATGGACTAGAGTAAAATTGTGAAAATCAGCTATCATTATTTAAAACTCTACCAGTAATTCTGAGCCCAATTTTCTATTAAACAAATAAAATAAGTAAATTGCTCATGAAAATCAAATCTAACAATTTACATGAGGGTAATGCAAATATATATTTGTAAATATATCTAGAAATAACCAAAATAACTCATTTTCACAAGGAATACACAAATAATGAAAAAAATCACAAAGGCTACTAATCGGTTCATTTTGCATATTTTAATGTGGGCTTTTAGCTGAGTAAATTATTAAACAGGGTGATTTCACAGACTGTTTACATTTTAGAACATCACATTAGTATTTCAAAATATTACCCTTTCTAAATCAAATCTGTGGTCCTAGTCAGTTTTAGGAAAGAATCTTGTCAAGGTATGTTCCACAACGCAGTAGAGACACCTCAGTACTTTCAAAATATTTACAAAGAACCCTGCTGATCCTGTGCGTTTCGTTGAGGTGCTACCTGCACCCACACTTCATCATCAGAAAAAGAACTTGAACTTCCTGACTCAGAGTCCAGCTCACTGAATCCATCCAGGTCCCATTCAGTGCTGGATTCACTTCTAGCATCATCTTCCTCCGTGATGAAACTCTGACCAGGTTCAAGGCAGGAAGGATAGACACGAGCACAGAGGCAAATAAAGCCAGAGTCAAACTGCAAAAGACCTAACATAGTTCCTATATTAATCCACTGGTCTTCCCTGGTATCATATTCGTACACAGTCACCCGGTTCTTTTTCCACTGAGGGGTGGTGGACGTGATCAGCAGCAACTTCTGCTCATGATTGACAATCTGGTAGTTGTGGGTCTCAGAGTCCAAGGGAATATTACTAATCCGCCTCCACTCTCCCCTGGCTGGGTTGTAGACCTTCATGACTGGTATGTCACAGATGCAGTAGATCTCATCATTGAAGACACATGCCTCCTGGAAGTCACTGCGCTTAAGGGAAGCACAGTTCAACCACATATTGTGGCTGGGATCATAGCAGAGCATGCGCTTACTGTTGACAGCGTAAAGATAGTTCTGAACCACTATAAGTTCAAAGGAATAGAAGGAATGGGGCACAGGAGCCACCAGTGCCCACTGGTTTCTCTGAACACTGTAACATTCCACTTCCTTCAACTTCACACCAGTAACAGGGTCTCGCCCACCCAAAATGTAGATGTAACCATTCAGATATGCCACGTCCATGCCCTCACGACACAGCAAGCGGTCTGCAAGTTGCTGCCAACTATTCTGGGCTGGTTTGTACACCCATAGGTCTTTCCTGGGCTGGGCAGCTAGGTAGATGTCATGATCTGGAGAGACACAGACAGCTGAGGAGGTGATGGTCTTAGTGTGGGCCAAGGTTGTTAAAGGTGAAGGCATGGTGTAAATGTCCCCTGAGTATGGGTCGTAGCAAAGAAAAGGATCTCTGGGATGGCCAAAGAAGATCACCATCTCCTTGGCACACATTCCCAGCCTCTGGGGTGGATTTTCTGCTGCAGACACGACAGAGCTGCTGCCACTGCTGCTGCTGCTGCTGCTGCCACTGCTGCTGCTGCTGCTGCTGGCACTGCTGCTGTTTGGCGCTGGCACCAGGGACTTGCACAGCGTGTCACCATAGCGCATCTGCAGGGCCCCCTCGATAATGTCCAGGCAGTACTTCCTCACGATGGGCTTGGCCAGCAGCCCTTCCAGGTAGTCCTGGTCACCTTCAGTGAAGAGTGCCCAGCGCACACACTTGAAGACTTCTGCCGCACTGGGGCCCCGCTCTTTGGGGGCGGCTTCCAGCCACTGCAGGGCCACGTGACACACTGTCAGCTCGCTCTCAATGTCCAGGCTGTCGAGGCGCAGGATGGCCAGCAGCTGGGCCAGGGTCAGATCTGCCAGAGACTCCTCCCGAACTGAGCCCATGCGGCTGAGCTGCTTGAAGTTGTGAGCTATAAAAGACTGGGCCTGGGATCTCAGCTTGCGGTGCCCGAAGGCATCAGCAAACTTGAGGATGGCCGTGCAGTTGGCCAGGTCGAGACGGCGGGCCAGGAAGGAGGCACAGGCTTCCCGCACATACTCGAGCTGCAGCATGTCTGAGGCGGCGTACAGGCGCTGCACGTTGGCCTCGCTCAGGGACACACGCCCCGTGTAGCAGTAATCCACCAACACCTCGAAGGACTCGGCGTCCACGTCGTGCATGGTCACGCTGGCCTGCTGGCTCTCGTACATGCCGCCCGTGAACATGCTCTTGAAGTAGGGACACGCGGCGGCCAACACGTTGCGGTTGCAGGGGAACAGGCGCCCCGTGCCAGGCCCGCTGCCAGGTGTCACCACCTCGATGGTCACATCACACAGCAGCCGCGCGTCATAGAAGGACTTGAGCTGTGCCAGCAGGGCGGCGGAGTGGCCCGAGTCCTTTAACTCTTCGGGACCCGTGTAAAAGGCCGAAACCGAGGGTTTGGAAATCCTCTTGGGCCTCCTCCCTCCGCGGGGACTGGCGAGGCGGCGAGAACGCGGAGCGTCTTCCCGGGACTGCATGGTGGAGATGGCGGCGGAGCGTGAGGGCGAGAGCGGCTGCAGGGACGCGGCTCTGGCTCCTCCTCACCCTTCCCTCGCTGACGCGGGGACAGCGGCGCCTCACAGCAGGCTGCGGCACCGGCCGCCTACGTAAGTCCGCCCTACCGCCCGGCACCTCGTCCCTTTATCGCGTAGACAGTGCCTGACTCACCCTCTTTAACTTCCACGCCCTTTCTCTGGCTCAGCTTGCCCTCAGTGGACCTGCTGGCTGGAACCCAGAGCCGCCACTGCCGCGCTGGCGAAACCAGTAGTCGCCAGGAAAACTACCGGTCCCAAGTGCTTTTCGCGCCTCGAGGCATGCTGGGGCCTTCCCGTCTCCAGTGAAGAGAGTGCCCGGCGGAAGCCGCTTTGCATGCTGGGAGTAGTAGTTTGTGTAATATCGCGAGCTTTCGGTGGTGGGCCGCTTTTTCTAACAACTGGAAAGCGTTAATTCTCTTGGATTTGATGGGGAAGAGATTCGCATTGAAGGCCAGAATTATTCAAATGTATGAACTTTTTCTGAAATTTTTTTATTCTTTGTAAGTTATGGATAAGAATATTTAATAGGTTATTTGACATTTAGGACATTTTTTAAATATTATTTCATTCCAAGTATCACGTTCTTTTTGTAGCAATTAGCACCATTACATCCCCGGAAGAAACTGTTTCTTTTCACGCAGCCCCACCTTTCCACTTTCTGTCTTATTGCTCTCACGAAAATAGAGCTTCTGTCCCTAAGACTTCTTTCATTGACATTTACTCGCTGTTGTGAAGACTGAGAGGAGGAAAAGCGAATCTGAATGTAGTATTTAAAGATAAGGCTTTTGGAAAGTGATTCTATTAGAAAAGGCCATAACCGAACACTTGTGGGTTTTTCAAAAGGAGAGAGACCACAGAGCTGTGCGCGCACACGCTCCCTGCCTGCGGCACCTGATGGGGGACCGCCTCAGAGCAGGCCCCCGGACCTGTAGAGAATGGCCTGCCCCCGGCACTTTTAATACTAATTAAAGAGACTTAGACACTGATATAGATTCAGTGGTTGATTTTTTTTTACTTCCTTATATCTGTTCTTACTGTGTCAGTTGGTGGGCATTAATTATCTTTTGCAAAATCATAAATATTAGTCATTGTCCTGTAAGACATACAGCACCACTGTCACTCAGAATATTCTGTAGTGTTGGAAATATTTTATATCTCGTATGACAGCCAGATACCACCTGTAACTCTTGAGTAACTTGAATGTGTCTAATGAAGCCAAGGACCTGAATTTTAAATTTCATAGACATAGATTTTATATTTATTGAAGGAAAAATAGTACTTGGAAGCAATGGTATTGGAACAACTATATTCGGCTGTGAATCAAAAACTGGATGTGAGGGCCTGGCGCGGTAGCCTAGTGGCTAAAGTCCTCACCTTTAATCACCATGATCCCATATGAGTGCTGATTCTAATCCTGGCAGCCCTGCCTCCCATCCATCTCCCTGCTGGTGGCCTGGGAAGGCAGTGCAGGATGGCCCAAAGCCTTGGGACCCTGCACCTGCTGTGAGAGACCCAGAAGAGGCTCTGGGCTCCTGGCTTTGGATTGGCTCAGCTCCAGCCATTGAAGCCATTTTGGGAGTAAATCAGCAGACAGAGATCTTCCTTTCTGTCTCTCCTCCTCTCTGTGTATCTGCCTTTCCGATAAAAATAAAATAAATATTTAAAAAATAAAACTAAACCTGACCCACGTTTTATATTGTAAATAAAAATAAGTAAAATTAAATGAAAAAAACAAAAAGTGAAAATTAAAAATGGATCTTAGTACTAAGTGAAAAAGTTAAAACTATCTCTTAATAGAACAACACCTCTGTGACTTGGGGGGTCGAATAAATAAACACTAATCCTAAAGAAAAAGTGTACTTCAGAATACAGGCTTTTCCCACCAAAAAATAGTGAAACAAAAATGTAACTCACAGATTGGAAAAAAAATAACCATAAAAACATTCCAGTGGCTAATCATAAGAAAATGCACTCAATGTCATTTACCCAATGCTGAAATCACAATCAGGAAATTAAATTCATGAAGAGGAAATACTACACAACCACCAGAATGACTGCACTTAAGATACCAAATTTTGTGAACACGTGGAGGCATTGGAGTTCATTCATATCTTTATAATAGGAATATAAGTTGGCATCTATTTTAGAATACTCCCTGGTAGCTCCTGGGCATTTCAAAAAGGCAAGTAAAAATTTTTATCCACAAAAAGGCTTGTATACTGCTTTTCATAGTAGCTTTGTCCACATTAACTAAAAACAGAAACAATCCAACAATATCTCAAGATAATGAAAATAAAAAGAAATAAACTCTGATGCATGTAATAACGTAGATGCTTCTCAGTTTGTCAAGCAAAAGCCGCCAGAACTTCACAAGACCCTGAAGTTCTGAAACAGCTTTGGGAAATAAAAATGATAAGATATACTGCCGCCCAAGTGATAGATGGGGTTTGACAGCTTGCTAGGGGGACTGGAAGGAAAGATGAAGAAACTTTCAGACATGAGGCCAATGTTTTCTTCCTTTTGGGCTTGTGGTTATATGGGTGTGAATACAATTGCCAGACTCAATGAACAGTATTACTCATTTTGATGCTTTTATGCTGTGTATATTACATGTCCTCTCAGGAGAATCTACTTCATAATTGCTAATACTAAAACAAAAAAAGTTATAGAATTCTTTCCCACAGAATCATAATAAAGATAATGCAGTGATAAAGGAAGCTTCCTCTCAAGGTCCAGCAGATGATGGATCGCAGGATGCATGCTCTGGGAGGATCAGTACACTGCATCTTTCCAATCTGTTGCTGGGTGCCTTAACATTATATTCTGGTACTATTTGATTCCTGCCAGTCACAATTTGCTACTAACCTTATTTTCTGTTTCCTCAAGTTTTCTCACAATTTTCATAATCTTTTATAATGCAATATACATTCTTTTTGCCAGGAAGATAAAAGAGCTGGTTTTTCCTCGTGATTTTATTGGTCATCAACAAGCTAAGGTTTTGGTTCCTAAGAAATCTTTCACCTCTGTGCTATTTATGAGTTTTTTCGACAGCAGACTCTGCTTGAGCTCTTCTAAAAATGCTGCATTGTCTCGTGACTTCACGTGTTGCCTCTTAGAGACCAGATGTCTGCTTTCCTGAGGCAGTCCCACTCATGTTTTCCTTTGAATTTGGCTGATAATTAACTCCTTAGGGTTCTGTATCTGAAGCCTGTCATCCACATGCTGAATACTCTACTTCCTGGAATCTATTCACCCTGGTTTTTTTTTTTAAAGGTTTATTTATTTTTATTACAAACTCAGATATACAGAGAAGGAGAGATAGAGAGGAAGATCATCCATCCGATGATTCACTACCCAAGTGAGCGCAACAGCCGGTGTTGTGCTGATCCCACGCAGGGAACCAGGAACCTCCTCCAGGTCTCCCACACAGGTGCAGGGTCCCAAAGCACTGGGCCGTCGTCGACTGCCCTTCCAGGCTACAAGCAGGGAGCTGGATGGGAAGTGGAGCTGCCGGTACTAGAACCGGCGCCCATATGGGATCCCGGCACGTTCAAGGAGAGGACTTTAGCTAATAAGCCATGCCGCCAGGCCCTTTAACCTCAATATTACTTAATCTTAAGTTACCCATTCAGGTAAAAGCAAGTTGTCATTGCTTGAAATGGTTCCTGGCAGGTCGATGAGACTAGTGAAGGAATCTGTGAAAACCTCTTATGAAATCACTCTTACGAAAGGCAGTCTTACTTACTGTTGAGTGTAGAGCAATTCGAGATTTGTAGAGCAATCTTGTCACAGCATTATCCCAGGAAATCAAACAATATTATCACACAGTGTTTACCCTGGTGATTATGTATTCCAGAAATATCTTCCCAAGTTATTTGCAACAAGGATGGAATATCAGGTGTTGTTAATTAACCTTTGTGTTATTAAACTACAGCACATGTGCTCATAGGTAAATTAAAAACTTTTGACAGTGGGGATGTCAAATTCACTAGTAGCCCAGCAAGTAACTCATCAGACCTTACAAAAATTAAGCACACAGCATCAGGTCTCCCAAGACCTTTGATTCCAATTGTTTTCTCCAAAGGACTGAATCATGCTATTTTTTCTTAACATGGAAACCACTCAGTGGCAGTCTTCATGAAGCAGGACAATCATCAATGATAGATGGTAGTTGCAATGAAACAACACTAAGTACTGAACATTGCACTTCCTCCTCATGGCTTCTGGCGCTCTACACAGTAAAAACAAACAAAAACAGACAAAAAAAAAAAAAAAAAACCCACCCAAATCCACTTCTCTAACCACAGAAATAGTCTCTGAAACAAGTTTTCCCCATGTTGTTTTCAATAACACTTGCAATTGTTATATTGTCGGTCACCTATGTCTAGCACCTCTGGACTTCTTGGTGGACATCCTTGTTACAAGGGAATAACTGGGAAGCCTTAAGGAACTGGGTGTGTCTGAAAGAGGTCATCCTGTTTTAGTCTTCTGTCACTACAAATTGGGATTCGCTTCTTGACTCTGAATAATCTGATGTCTTCCTATGTTCTATGCCTTCACATGATGGGGCTTTAAGATCATCAATAAAAAAGAGAATAAAAGGCCCAGGATGACTTCACCAACCTGTTAGGATGAATTCTAATTAACTTAATTCTAAGTAGTCCTGAATTACATGACAGACTTAAGTGCCTTACCTGTTGATAGGGAAGTTCTGTTGGGATCAAGATAACCACATTAAAATCAATCACCAAATTGTACTCGCACCTTTGGTGGTACTCAACAAAGTGCTATTCCAAATATAATAACCCTAATATCCTCTGGCCAATTTAGAACTGACTGGGACCATCCCCTGGAATTTGCTGGGTGGGACCTAAAAGAAACAAATGGCTCTGTGGAGCCAGTCTTTTCCTCTAGCTTTTGCCCCATTGGGATAAGATATTGCATCTTGGATTTTCTCTGGAACAGGGGCATGTTCTAGCCATTGTTGGCACTGTCTCTAACAATTTTCTACTTGTGAAGGTCAAGTAGCATGAGTCAGTTTTTCCATGTTTTCACCTGCTTTAGGACTTGAAGTTGTAGTTGCCCACATTAGAGTTATTAATTGGGCCCGGCGCGGTGGCGCAAGTGGTTAAGTCCTCGCCTTGCACACCCGGGATCCCATATGGGCGCCGGTTCTAATCC